GTTCATCCTCCTGTGTGGGACCCTGTCCCGTGCATCCTCCTGTGTGGGACCCTGTCCCGTGCATCCCCCTGTGTGGGACCCTGTCCCGTTCATCCCCCTGTGTGGGACCCTGTCCCGTTCATCCCCCTGTCTGGGACCCTGTCCCGTTCATCCCCCTGTCTGGGACCCTGTCCCGTTCATCCCCCTGTCTGAGACCCTGTCCCGTTCATCCCCCTGTCTGAGACCCTGTCCCGTTTATCCTCGTGTGTGGGACCCTGTCCGTTCATCCTCCTGTGTGGGACCCTGTCCCGTTCATCCTCCTGTCTGGGACCCTGTCCCGTCCATCCTCCTGTGTGGGACCCTGTCTGGGACCCTATCCTGTGCATTCGTGTATGTGACTACACCCCAACTCTAGCTTGGAGCAGCTACAAATGCCTATTAATTGAATAATAAATAGTAAATGTTTTAAACATTCCAAAGGCAACATCCAGGCAAGATATTTGGTAGATAGATTATATTTAGTCATTTAATTAAATTTTAATTTTTTTTTTTTATTCAGGGTCTCACTTTATTGCTGGCATAGAGTGCAGTGGCATCATTATAGCCCATTAAAACTTCACAATCAGGGGCTCTAGTGATCCTCTTGCCTCAGCCTCCTGAGTACCTGGAACTACAAGTGGACACCACCAACCACACCCACCTTATTTTTCTATTTTTTGTAGAAATGGGCAAAATTCTGCTAGGATTACAGTGTGAGTCAGCTTGCTGGCCTACTTAATGTTTTTTAAATGGCTTAACATCACTGAAAAATTCATTTTTTCATATGTGATGTCTAGAAGTCTGGAATTGGCCCACCTGATTTTGTGGTCACCGATCCATGGCTGGGACTGGCCTGGCAGCTCCTGGATCCGTGTACATGTGGTTTCCCTCCTGAGCTTGGGTTCTCTCTCTTCAGGGTTCCTAGTATGTCTGGCCTCAAACCCTCTTTGACAGTACCCCAGAAACTGGCTCTCAAGAGCCCACATGAGAAAATGGACCCTCAGATTCTTTCCCTGACCTTACCTGTAGCCATAAGTCAACCTTGTTTATGTTTCCTTAAAATAAAAATACACAGGCTGGGCACAGTGGCTCACACCTATAGTACCAGCATTTGGGGAGGCTGAGGCAGGAGGCTACCTCGGGCCTAGGAATTCAAGACCAGCCTCAGCAACCTAGCAAGACCCCCTTCTTTACCAAAAAAAAAAAACTAAATGTGTGTGGTGGGGGCACCTGTAGTCCCAGTTACTCAGTAGGCTGAGGTGGGAGGATCACCTGAGTCCAGGAGTTCTAGGTTACAATGAGCTGAGGTCACACTTCTGCTTTCTAGCCTGGGCGGTGGAACAAGACCCTGTTTCTGAAAAATAAGTAAAGTAAAATAGTACAAAATGTAATAAATTAACAAATAAAGGAAAGAATCACAGGTTCTGCTTTCAGATATTCTGAGGCCTGCAGTGTTCCCTAGTCCAGTGCTGCTGGGATTAGAGTTTAGCCTCTGCTCTAGTGTAGAGCCTGTGCTGTGCCGGGCCTCCCAGTTACTCTGAGTTCACTCACTGTCCTCCGCTGGGGGCAGAGGACAGAGGGTCCTTTGGCTTGGCAGCATCACACTCTGTAGGCAGATCTCTTTCTTTTGAGACAGAGTCTCAAGCCGTCACCCTGGGTAGAGTGCTGTGGCGTCACAGCTCACAGCAACCTCCAACTCTCAGGCTCAAACAGTCCTCCTGCCTCGGCCTCCCAGGGAGCTGGGACTACAGGCGCCCGCCACAACGTCTAGCTATTTTTTGGTTGCAGTTGTCAATGTTGTTTAGCTGGCCTGGGCCGGGTTTGAACCCACCAGCTCCGTTATATGTGGTGGTTGCAGAAAGCATTGTGCTCCGGGCGCCAAGCCTGGCTGTCTTCTAGATTCAAGAGTTTTCTGTGATGACTGAGCACCCGAGTCACAGCGTCTCATTTTGTAAATCAACTGCAGGCATCAGCTTCAGACTCAAGCAGAGCTGGTTTTGGAGGAAAACAAGCTGTTAATAGAGCAGCTGGAGCTTCAACAAACCAAAGCTAAGGATGCCCACCAGGAGCGTCTCCAAGAAGGTGAGGTCTTCCCGGGGGCAGCCGTGCTGGGGGTCACTATTATGTCACCTTACTCTGGCATCCCCTCCTGCCCAGACCCCTCTTGAAAAGAGAGGAAATTGTGTTTTGTAGAATATCATCTTCTTCTTTTTTTGAGATAGTCTCACTATGTTGCCCTTTGTAGAGTGCTATTGTGTCACAGCTCACAGCAACCTCAAACTCCTGGGCTCAAGCAATTCTCTTGCCTCAGCCTCCCAAGTAGCTGGGACTATAGGCGCCCACCACAACACCCGGCTATTTTTTGTTGCAGTTGTCATTGTTGGTTAGCTGGCCTGGGCTAGGTTCAAACCTGCCACCTTTGGTGTATGTGGCTGGTGCTATAACCTCTATGCTACAGGTCCTGAGTCATCTTTTTTGAAATGCAACTATTTCTAGTATTCCCCGCTTGCCCTTAATACACTGATTGCTTTCTCTGAGAAAGTCTCTCTCTCATCATTTTATATGTTTGGTAAATCAGCTGCAGTGGTAACTTTAGGCTCAGCAGAACTGGTTTGGAAATGGGAAGAATCACGTGAAGTAAATATTTGAAATGACACAAGGGTTTCTTTCCAAGTATTTGTCAAGGGAGTAAGTACCCTCTCTAAATTATTTCTTTGGGCCAGGTGCGGTGGTGCACACCTGTGATCCCAGCACTCTGGGCAGGTGGATTGCCTGAGCTCAGGAGTTTGAGACCTGAAGGGAGGTCTGAGCAAGAGCAAGACCCTGTCTCTACTAAAAATAGAAAAACTAGTTCAGTGTAGTAGATGCCTGTAATCCCACCTACTCAGGAAGCTGAGGCAAGAGGATCACTTGAGCCCAGGAGTTTGAGGTTGCTGTGAGCTATGATGCCACGGCACTCTACCCAGAGCACAGAGTTCTACTCTGTCTCAGTAATAATAATAATACTGAATTTCTCTGTAGTCTTTCCTTCCTTCAGAGCTGTGGGTGTTGAGGTTAAATTGCTGTGGGTTAGATGGCTGTCAGGCACCTTCCGTGTGTATCCATGCCCCTCAGAGCCTCACAGCCTGTGACAGTTAACTTCTGGTGGACCAATTTAAGAGTTGGTCTTCTACTTTGGACCAAAGTTTATGAGCTCAAAGTTAGTGGCATTTTTCCTTTTGCTTTATTGATTTTTCTTTCCTAGTAAGGAGTAATACAGGACAGGAAGCTGAAGCACCAGCGGCCTCGTGTGAGCGGTGCAGCCCTTCCTCTCTGCTTCCTTCTGTATTTGCCTGTTTACTGACCCTGCTTCTGTACTTGGAAGAACGAGTTCCTGGCCAGGCACAGTGCCTCCTGCCTGTGAGCCCTCCCTCCACACTCCAGAAGGCCGAGGTGGGCAGATTGATTGCCTGAGCTCACGAGGTCAAGACCAGCCTGAGCTAGAGCGAGACCCTTGTCTCTAAAAAATTGGCCGGCGTTGTGGTGGGCGTCTAAAGTCCCAGCCACTTGGGAGGCTGAGGCAAGAGAATTGCTTGAGCACAAGAGTCTGAGGTTGCTGTGAGCTGTGACACAAAGGCACTCTACAGAGGGCAACAAAGTGAGATTCTGAATCAAAAAAAAGGAAAAAAAAGAGTTCCTCGCCAATGTCTGCTGTTGCTGAAGTTACTGGGCTGGCATTTTCTGATGACCAGGTGGTGTTTCAAGATGGAAGCACTCAGAGTTCCACGGGAATCTCCTCCACAGACCTGGGTGGCTGAGGACTATTCTCATTTACTCTTACGTTGTTGGGTGGGGGGAGCAGAGAGTGGCTGAGCCGCCAATCTTTGTTCTCAGGGTTGGAAATGATAGGAGACTTAATTTCCTATTTACTGAGCTTAATTTTCTCGAATACACCGGATCTGAACCAGTGTAATAATCTTCTGGTCACATGGGCAGCGCAGACTTTCGACATTTATGATTCAGTCAGTTGCCTGTATTATTTTTCCATTCCCTAGAAACAGCTATTTACTTTGATCAATTGAATGTTTTCATAGAGTAGAAAGATTTAAGTGCTACTTTTAACAGATACCCAGGAAATATTTTATTACGTACTACTGTGTCACACAGGATGAAAATATTTATGATTTACTTTAGATACAGCACATAAAACATAAAAACTTAATGAAGAAAAAGAAGAAAAATAATTAAGTATGGCTGTTAGTTTGGCCATGTTTGATATATTTAAAAATCTTGAAAATCTTTTTTTTTTTTTTTTTTTTTTTTGAGACAGAGCCTCAAGCTGTCCCCCTGGGTAGAGTGCCGTGGTATTACAGCTCACAGTAACCTCCAACTCCTGGGCTTAAGCGAGTCTCCTGCCTCCGCCTCCCAAGTAGCTGGGACCACAGGAGCCTGCCACAATGCCCGGCTATTTTTTGGTTGCAGCGGTCATTGTTGTTTGGCGGGTCCAGGCTGGATTTGAACCCGCCACCTTTGGTGTACGTGGCTGGCGCCTTAGCCGGTTGAGCTATAGGCGCCGAGCCAAATCTTGAAAATCTTGACTGGGCGCAGTGGCTCATGCCAGTAATCAGGTGGATTGCCTGAGCTCAGGAGCCTGAGCCAGAGCGAGACCTCGTCTCTAACAAAAAGAAAACAGTAAAGCCATTGTGGCAGGCTCCTATAGTGCTGGCTATTTGGGAGGCTGAGGCAAGAGACTTGCCTGAGCCCAAGTTTGAGGTTCCTGTGAGCTATGACACCACAGCACTCTATCCAGGGTGAGTGAGTGAGACTCTGTGTCCAAAAAAAAAAAAAAAACTTGCAGTTTTAGAGACATCATGTTAGACAATTGCACACCTGTGTATGATTTAAGACTTCAGTCTTAGCTCAGCATCCGTAGCTCAGTGAGTAAAGGTGCCAGCCACATACACCAAAGCTGTCAGGTTTTAGCCCAGGCCGGGCCTGCTAAATAACAATGACAACTACAACCAAATAATAGCCGGGTGTTGCGGCAGGCACCTGTAGTCCCAGCTACTCGGGGCTGAGGCAAAAGAATTGCTTAAGCCCGTGAGTTTGAGGTTGCTGTGAGCTGTGACACCACAGCACTCTACCCAGGACAACATAATAAGACTCTGTCTCAAAAAAAAAAAAAAAAGACTTCAGTCTTTGAAAACTCAGTTTCTTGAAGACTAGAATTATGTCTTGTTAAATGTTATTGTGAGCCTTACTTTAAAAAAAAGTGTGTATTTAGTGAATGCTTACTGTGGGGATAGTTATTTCTAAGTACTAGGCTTTTGATATTAATTTCTAAGACTCCAAAAGATTTTCAAAACATCATTTCTTTGAGCCCACTCTCATTATTCCCTGGTAACCAGTAATCAAGTTTTATGAAGTCTTTCTTTGCCAAGTTTTTATCTTTCTCTTTTGTTTTTTAGTTTCCAAGCTGACTAAACAACTCATGCTCTTAGAGACTAAAACCCAGAACCAGGAAAAGAAGCTGACGGAGAACAAGGAGCAGCTGGAGACTTTGCTGGCCGAGCGCCAGGAGCTCAGCACACACCTGCACCGCAGAATCGCAGTGGAAGTTCACACTTCCATTGTAAATGAATTAAAAAGGTAAAGGTTTAAAAGAGTCACTATGCATGTGATCAGAGAGAGCGTGGAGAGAGATGGCTCCATCTTTCTCTGAGCCTTTTTTAACCTGGATCAGCACAGGCGCAGAGAGTGAGATGGAAAGTATTTTACCCAAGGAGGACCTGGCTGCCCTCAAAGGCTGCCGTCTGCACCTCATGTGTCCTTTCCCCTCTGCTGTTTCAGTCTTTGTTAGTTTCAGAACCAAAGATAATTTAAAGTAGTAGAATTGGGCTGGGCCTGGTGGCTCACGCCTGTAATCCCAGCACTCTGGGAGGCTGAGGCAGGGGGATCTCTTGAGCCCAAGAGTTTGAGGTTGCTGTGAGCTATGATGATGCCACGGCAGTCCACCCAGGGTGACAGAGTGAGACTGTCTCAAAAAAATAAATAAAAATAAAGTAGTAGAACTGGATAATCAATAGTAAGAAACTGGTTAAGGCTGGGCGAGGTGACTCATACCTGTAATCCTAGCACTCTGGGAGGCCGAGGAGTTTGAGACCAGCCTGAGCAAGAGCCAGACCCAGTCTCTGAAAATAGCCGGGTGTTGTGACGGGCACCTGTAGTCCCAGCTACTTGGGAGGCTGAGGCAAGAGAATCGCTTGAGCCTAAGAATTTGAGGTTGCTGTGAGCTGTGACACCACGGCACTCTACCCAGGGTGGCAAAGAAAAAAAAAAAAGGAACAGGTTAAACGAAAGGATACAACTGTAAGTTGGACTATGGTGCAACCACTGAATGCAGCGTCACACTGGTTCTTCTTGACTCAGAAAGTAGCTGCAGTGTATTTATGACTGAAGAGATAGGGCACAATACAGTATGTACAGAATGGTAATAATTTTGTTTTTTTCAAAAAGTGTGGCTCGGCGCCTATAGCTCAACCGGC